CTGAAATTTTCTGGGATCCTTTTCTTCGCTTCACTGCCTTAAGCAAGATTTCTTTCATGGTGACCTTTGTGTTGTCCACCTGAATAAGGGAGAATCCATGAGCAGCGTTTCTGTAGGAAAAGACAGATATTAAATCATCACTAACATTTAACCAGAGGACTGTTACCGCGGTCTTCATTGTGTTTAATAAAGTTTTACTGAGTGTACCTCAAAGTGCCAGTTATTTAAAAAAAAAAAAAAAAACAGACTAACTTCTAATGAGAGAGAGAGAGAGAGGCTTTCTGGTATAAACAGTTCCAAGTGAAAGGAAGGTCAGAGTTAGGAAATGTTTTTCTAATTTATCTCAAATTGAATCTAATTGGTCTGTGTGGGTCACTAGTACCGTGGGTTACTCGTATTGGCTCCCAAGCCAAATCCTGGAACACGGATTGACAATAAACTTAGCTTGTGTCAGTAGATGTCACTGCAGGCAGATACTACCATCACATTAAAGCTCCTGGAGCCCTACAGTAAAAATGTCATGGAGTGAGGATGGTGGGTGGTAGGGGAGTGGTGGGGGAGGATGACAGCCCAAAGCAATTTAGAATAAGGAAAAAAGGGCTCTTCCTAAGTGGCTAGTAAATAAGTAAATAAATAAATTTTAAATATATGGTCTATATATACTTTAGTAGGAATGTTTTAGTCTACTTAGTCCGAGAAGGTCAAACAAAATATGAAATGAAGCATAAATAATTATAAGACAAAATGCTAAGACTACTTGTAAACTTCTAGTCAGTCAAACTTGGAGGGAGTAGTTCATATAGATAGCGAAAAATCTGGTAGGGAACAAGTACCCTAAAAACAGAAGCCCATCCCTGGGTGAGGTAGAACTTCACTAAGACTGTTAATTGCAGTAGCAAGTATCACAAATACTACTCACTATGCTCGGGCACCAGAACAAAACAGGCCAATTCCAAGTAGCTCATCTAACAAATGGGACCCAAGTTTCCAACGATGGAACATGGGAATTACCACAAGGAGTTTGGTCGCATTCCCATTTCCTCATGAGAATCTCAAAGGAGAACACACAGCCAAAAAATATGGCAGAACTTCATACTGACAAGAAATCTGAAAGAAAAGCCAAGCCCCAAGCTAAGCCATGGAAAAGCTTCCCAATGGAAGGAGAGGCTGAGAAGAGGCCTTAATCCTCTTTGGGACCTAGTTTGGACCTAACCAGGTGGCTGGCTTTCCACAGGGGCTGGGGGGCCGATCTCAAAACCAAGGACCCAATTTGCTTCCCTAATACAAAGACATCTCCACACCCCTCCTCTCCATACGGCTTGCTGTTTAATCCTTGACATTCCATTTGTTAAAAAGCAAAAGCCGACGCTGGTCTAGCCAGCACGATCATCCATTTTAACTTGGTCAAGTTCTTGCTATTGAACAGCAGGCCTGAGAACTGTCAAGCTAATTTTACTGAACACTCTGTTACTGAATCATGCCTGAGCTCCAGCCATTCTTTACCTCAGAAGCTGGACCCCATCCCAGAACAATCTTTAAAAGTTTATTTTACTGATCAAAGCAAAATAAGAAATAGCTCTTTTTTTAAAAACTATATTTAGGGAGCGATGCAGTAAGTGATACTTTGGCAAGCACACTGAAATGTAAAGTGCCTTGTGCATTTATAAACTTGGGGGTATTTGCTCTGGCGCGAGGCCAGGGAGTGTTTGGAACAAACGCCAATCATCCGCGTTCAGGCTTGTCTTCCCCTGCTCGCTCCTCAGAAGTCAGTATGCGCTCCATCTGTGACAATATGTTGGGCGATGGGTGAGTGGGGCCTAAAAGGGAACACGAGTCCTTGGGTACACACAAACTAGTCCCGGGCTAGATCTCACGAACTTCCATCTACCTGGCTTCCACCTGGACTATTTTCGATTTGAGTCTGCTTATAAATCGCTTACATTCTCACCTAATCTGCTGCTGGCTGACAGCATTATTTCAAACCAATACGTTTATCTTTTTTAGCAAAGGCAGACTAGAAGCTCAAAGGGAAGCCTTGCGTTCGGACTAACTTCCATAAATTAAAAGTGTCCTTTTAAAAGATTTTGAACACAGGAAAATCCCTCGTCTGTATTTTTCTGTCATTTTACCAAAACGTACGTGGGTGACAAGGTTAAAGCAAGCAGAGGAAATCCCTGGCACTTATCATCCACAGGCATTACTGATAAATTGTGTGGTGGAGGAATAAAGGATTACCTTCTGTATTTTTTCATTACACTTTTCTTTTGTTACAGAATACATAAATCCATTGTGGCACAATGTAATATGTATCACCGCGCTACACCTGCGGACGCTTCCGAGCGGCTGCCATGTCTGTGCAGTCAGGAATGATAAGTGAACCACCCGTGAATGTTAACGATAGTGATCATTCTGAGGTAACTCGGCTCTCCATCTTCCTCTACAGCCTCGGTGCTGAAGCCAGGGTAGCAAGGTTCATGAGAGGAAAATGAAAACAACAGCGGAGGGAAGGGGCACGCACGGCGCTCGGAACGTGCCTGCGCGAGCGCGCGGGATCTCACTCTGGGGCTCCATTCCGGTAAAAGCGTGCGCATTAAAAGGAGAAAGAGGTTGTGACCCACGTACTGCACACTCAACCGGACCTGATGAAAGCTTCCTCGGGTCAGTCTCCCACTCCGCTCGCTTCCCGCCCTCCAGACAAACATCAACTCCGGATCTCGCTCCAAGTCTACAGCACTTGGGGGCAACACGTTTCCAAAATACAAGAGCACGGAATCAAAGGGGTTCTCGGAAGACGTCTAGGTGCGACTGTTAAGTTATGCTCCCATTTAATAAATGGATATGGAGACTTGCTTCCGCAATTTTCAGCTTGACTTCCAAACATTCTGGGTTTTATGCCTCATTTCTTTATATCCAGGAATTTTTATGGGCTTTCGAAAAAGCCTATTGAAATACATCTTTTAGAGCTGCTTTTTATTGAACGTTGGGCATTGGGTGTGCGACTGAGAAGACACTGATCTCGAGAGAAAAGCTGGCAGCAGGTAGGGAGGGCACTCGCTGGTCCTGACTCCCTTCCGTGTGGCCCTGCATTCCAGGCTCTGAGGTGTGACCTGTGCTGAGGGTGGCTGGCCCTCGGACAGACAGGCGGATGGAGGGACAGATGGACTACAAACCCGGATCTCGGCTCAGAAACTGCTCCTCCTCCCGCTCCCCTTGTGGACAGACGGCTTGTCTCCAGCCACAGTAGGGCACGCTGGGGGCACTGAGCACAGGCAGCTGCCCTCCGCAGCTCCGCGGGCTGCCTGCGCCGGGTCTAGGAGGAAGCGCCACTTCAGGCAGCTGACTGAACACTGCCAGGAGGGCTTCAGTCAATTCGAAGTTAGGTCCTGTCAGGTCTTGCAAACACTGAAAAACGTATGGGCATTTTAAAAAGAGATTACTCACTTGAGGAATTTAGCTCTGTCCCAGTGCAAAGCCACTCAGTTACCAGAGGGGAGTTTTTATACCCACATTAACCTAACACGATGAGCGTTTCTCTGCTAAATATTAAACCAGAGCTGACGGGACACAGGTCCTTATCCGGAAAGCTTAGATTCTATTTATAGGGACAGAGCTGGAAGCAGAACCCAAGTTGGGAGGCAACATACTGGAGAGGAAAACACATGCACTGGGGGGTTAAATACCCTTTGGTTCAAGTTCTCGTTCCACGGCTAACCAAAACGTTGCCTTAACACGTGGGAACCTCTGCTGCAGCCATGAAACGAGGAGGCCGCTTCCCTGCAGAACTGTCAGAGAGGATGAAATAGACAATGAATGGCAAGCACCTAGCATTCGGGTTGGCAAACAGTAAAAGGAGCTTAGAAATGTTAGTGCTCTCGTGTTCCCCGTGTCCTAAGTCATCTCTCCAAGAGAAGAGGCCCCATTCACCGCCCCCCCACACCCTCAGCAGATACTGCTTAGTTGGGGAAGGATCCCAACCATTGCTTATAGTTGGGAACACAGGGCCATTAAAATGTGCAACTGCTGGGCATGATAGCAACAGTCAGGCGCGCTGTAAGCAAGCAACCCCTGGCCCAGGCATCAGGCCCCCTCTGAAGCTCACAGAAGAGCACTCAAGGCACCGTTTTCAAGGCTTTCACTTTTGAGAGAGTGAGCCAGGGAAGTAGGTACCCTGTACCTCAGCTTAACTCACTGGCTTTGGATGGGGATGAGGAAAGTCAAAAATCATGGGGGTGTGCAGGGAAATTCAGTGAGACTTATTAAGAGCTTTCTGAGCTCCACAGTACAAGTTATTATTCAGCAGTCATGACAGTAATAACAGCAACTACTACCCACTGAACGTTTACGATGTGTCAGATGCTATGTTAAGCTTTTAAATCCTGTTTTAACTCATTCAATCCTAAAACAGGTGCTATTGTTAGATCCATTTTACAGAATCCGAGGTCGGAGGCATTACGGCATTTAATCCGAAGTTCCTCTATTAAAGATCTTTTTTGAATTCAGAAATCAACACTATGGTCCCTAAACCAAAGAGCACAGTGTAGTGGGAGAGAAAGACAAAGAAGCAAACAAAGACTTATACTGCTATGCTATGCGGTAAGTACAAAGAAGGAGGCCAGCTCCGAGTGCTACCAAACACAGAGGCACTTGGCCAAGCCGTGGAGGGGTCAGGGGACCAAAGAGCTTCTTAATGGAGATGTCTCAAACAGTGATCATCCAGCCCTGTATCACGCTACGGAAGCTGGTGGTGACCGGAAGGCAGCAAAGCACAGCACAGCCTAGAGTAGACCCTGCTCTGGAGTCCCAGCTCTGGAGTCCAGTCCCAGCAGTCCCTGCTCTGGAGTCGGGGGTAAATGACACAGTCTCTCTCTCTCTAGCTTCTAGTTTCCTCATCTACGAAACGGGGATAATTCTTAGAGCAGAAGATTATTGTGAGGGCTAAATATCTGTGAAGTAGTTAACACAATACCGGTTATATAATAAGTGCTTAATATAATAACCATGACTTTTCTACGTACCAAGAAGTGATAAATGAGATGAGGACAGCTGTCAACATTTACTGAGCACTTACTTTGTTCATTTAATCCTCCCAGAAAAGGTAGGTGCCATTATC